TAAGAGAGGATATAATATATTGTTTGTTACAAATCGTGGTTTGGTTTACGGTTTGGGATCTAATTGTTGGGGATCTCTTGGTTTGGGACACAACCGCTATGTCAGTGAAATCCAAGAGATTGAGAGATTGCGCCACAAGAATATCACACAATTCTTCAATGGATGGGACTTTGTGTTAGCCCTCACTCAATACAACTGCCTCTATGGTTGGGGTCGTAAAGGAAAGGGACAGTTAGGTTTGGAACTCCCGAATATGGATTTCCCATTTATAAAACCAGAACTTATTAATCCCGAAAACATGGAAAATAAGTCAATCTATCAAATAAGTTGTGGTTATTTTCACACAATGATTCTCACGAGTGATTGCTGTGTCTATGGATGGGGGGATAATAGGGACGGAAAGTTAGGTTGTGGACCAGACAGTGATATACAAAACGGAACCATATTTCGAGTGAATTTCAGTCCTAATCACGAAATTAAAAGCATTTATTGTTATGGTTATTCTTCATATGCCATCACATCAGAGGGACAGGTGTATAGTTGGGGTCTAAATGAATGGTATAATTTGGGACATAATTCATCGGATAATATATGGAAACCAAAACCCATTGAAGACATGACTGGTATTAAGACTATCTGTTCCAATGGTCGCATCACTTACTTCTTATCAAACGATGGATTCATTCATTTTTGCGGAGAATATAGGAATACAAACAACGAACGTTTGTTACAAATATTACCAAAAGTATTAAATCCTGATAAGAGGGTTACAGAAATGAATTCAATTATATCATATAAGGATGACCTGTGTCGGTTTAGAGCTATAATGAATGGCAAAATATATTGTATTTATAAGGGACAAAACGATAATTTAATTAAAACAAATTATACAAATTTCTTCGACTGTTTCACAAATAAGTATCAAATGACTCATAAAACCATTAATTTGTGTGATTATAAGGAATATAATTATAAAACATGCAAAAGATTTCGTGCAAAATGTTTGAATTATTTGGAAAAACTATTTTCTTCTACAAAAAAGTTATCAAACAATGGTATGAATTGGTTGTATGGGTCATTCAAAAAGTACGTACAGTCAGCCAGTCATTAACATTCACGATTAACACATTTACTTGAACAAAAATATGCAAATCTCATTGAAATTAGTTACGAAATTAATAAAGTTAACTTGTACATTTTACAATATTCTCTTTTCGAACGCTAATTGCAGTTAGAATTTAAATCTAAAGAAATTGTCAGTAATTAAGCAAATTTCTAAACAAATTATTTTAATTATATTTATGCAAAAATAAATAATATACCGTATAATTAATTACACTTTAGTAAGCCTACAACACATCCCCTTTGAGTACTACTTTTGGATGACTTTTTAAGAAAAATGAATGAATGAATGAATTTAATTTGTTTTATAGTTGTTTCCGAAGTGAATCATTACAAGCGTCTATATGTAGAGAAGGATTTATTAGGTTCGGGAGGTTTTGGGGAAGTATTTGTTGCTAAAAAGAAATATGATGGACACGAATATGCGGTTAAGAAAATAAAAGTCCAAGGTAATTTAATGGCATTTAGATATATTTTGTATATCCACATTAAATTGTATTATACTGTATTCGTAGATCATCAAATTTTGTCATGTTTTGTCAAATTTAGAATTATTTATAATTATCAAAATTAATACACTTACAGGTGCTGACCAATTTCGGGAATGTATGCGAGAAATGCAAAATTTGATAAAAGTTAGGTCAGAATATTGTGTCCAATATATCAATCAATGGTATGAAAACAATGTGTATTACATTCGTATGGAGTTGTGTTCCGATAGTCTGCAGAATATTCTTCAACACAAACCACAAGTGTTTGGTCGACAACCGGACGAACCCATGAATTCAATCGAGTTTTACATTTCGTGTCATATATTCAAAGAGATCTTAGAATGCGTTCAATATTTACATGAATTGAATCCTCCGGNGAATGCGTTCAATATTTACATGAATTGAATCCTCCGGTCATTCATAGAGACCTCAAATCCGACAATATATTACTGGCGAAGACTGTAAGGAACGGCAGGTTTTTCAAAGTATGTGACTTTGGTTTGGCTACTGTTCACCAGCACTCGTCAGATAAGGGAGACCTGAGATATCAGGCACCAGAAGTGGGTCAGGGAGTGGACTATACCCATAAGATAGATGTCTACAGTTTGGCTAAAATTGCAGAACAAGATATTTTTGGGATTCATTTAGTGGACAAACCGTAAGAGAATGTGAATTAATATTTAAATTATTTAATAATTGAGTTTTTTATTTGAATATATTCTGTAGTTTACAAAAGTATTCAAACAATGAAGTTATGAACAAATGTGTGATTAAATTAACAGATGTATTGCATTCAATGTCATACTATAACTGGGATCACCCGCACAAACCCGGCCCTCACTGGACAGACAGACCCGAGTGCTCACAAGTCTTACTCAAATATAATGAGTGGTCTATTGATAAAAATTGTCTCAAAACTGATCCCACATTTGATTCCACACTAAATCTCATTCAACAAAATGATTACATGTTTTTTGCGGAATATTTTAATGCAAAATATGAAGGAATTGACGCAAAGTTAGAGAATATTCACTTAAATTCCTAAATGAGTTAAATTATAATTATTTGTTATTATTTTGAAATCAATTGATTTAATTATTAATAAATAGAATTTTTATATTTACCTCATTTGAAATAACTTTATATTATACTTTTTAAACAAATTAAAATTTAATACTGTATAACAATAATATTACGTAAATGTAATTATATTCACTGTCAGTGTGCTAGGTGACTTACTTTTACTATTCAAGTGAAATCTTTGTGTGTATATTTGCGTATACAATACTATACTATACAATACAATACAAACTCATGACACGATTCTGACGATACAATTCATAGAATTTTCGATTGCAGTCAATATGTATTACAACCGAAGACTTACGGGTGGCTATCAATGCGAATCTCAATTGGCGCCCACCTCTCAGTGCTTTTATGTCATCTCATTTGCTTGAGTATTATTATTTTTTGTAAAGTTATGAGTTTATAATATACAAAAAGATTAATCGATGAATACAAATGAAGGACTATGAATGTAATCTAAACAAGCTAAATGTTAAGTTTGAAAACTTTTATTAGTTTGAATGAGTAAACTCTGCTTCAAATGTAAAATTATTTATCAATAGTCCTTCATTTGTATTCATCGATTCATCTTTTTGTATATTATAAACTCATTTATTAAAACTAACAAATAAGTGACCCAGGTCCTCCGCTCAGTACACTTATGGGGCTTGGATATGTTGTAGAGTATATGTCCCTGATAACATACATCTAAAAATTAGGTGCTTAATCCGGTTATTTGGTGTCCATTTCT